CCCCCCGTTTCTTTTCTATATAATATTAGAGGATAATAATTTTATTCGTGATGACACCATTATAGGTTCGTCCTGTTAAAATAAACAAAAAACCTGTATMATAAACTATAAATGGGCGGAGAGCTGGAGAGCAAAAACATTACTTTTTTTAGTTTTACGTTAATTTTCATGATGGGTGTATTATTTTTGGTGTTGGTTTTCAATACAAGTGTTGCCTTTTACATTTTATGAGTATAACGTAAATAGCGACAGAAAAGTATAAGCATTAGTGAAATACCTATACGATAAGAACTCGATTTTGAAAGAAAAATGTTCTTCAAAACCTCCGTGTCATAATTTAACGCCCCGCGTGATATTGTACGTATCTTCTTGCGCTATTCCACCGTCAGCGGTGTACGTGAACCACCACGTCAGGTTAAGTAAGGTTGTATTAGGTTAGGTCACGGTTGCGGTAGTTGGGGCGGTCGTCGACGGGCACTTGAATACGAAATAATAATATATATAATACACGTGCGGGCAGGTAACGCGACGACTGCAACAGTGCAGAATGCAGCTCGATTATTGTGCCGGTATAGGTGAAAATCTGCTTAAACCACGATGCATCACAGGTTGTCTACCGACCATATATGCATTTAAATGCGCGCTAACATTACAATAATGTCTACTTAGAAATACGCCCGCGCGGTCGTGTATATGTGAACGTGTATGTGTATTATAGTAGTTTGATTATTCTTCATCGTCGGAGAGAAACAGAGGAAAAAACCTCTGGAAACCTTGGCGGCGGCGCAGAATTAATAATAAACCGTTTAGCTCCGGCACAACAACGGCACAAAAGTCACTCTGTATCGATAGAAAGAGAGAGAGAGAGACCGATTGCGGGCATTATATTATATTTGTTTTTTTATTTTTTTTCTTCCACTCATCCTTACTTAAATGGCAACGCCAAGGTCCCCGGKTATTGCGGGTCAATTGAATACGAAATAAACATGTACGCAGTAATACAAAAATATTACAAAACCATTTATTTACAAAAAAAACATGTTTATAGTAGGAAAGTTTTTTTCAACAATATCTCGTCGGAGAACTATAGGTATAGTGTTGTGTACTTTAGCTAAAATTATGATGATTATTAAATAGTATACAAATAAAACTTTCGATTTTTTGTTTTGTATTTGTATTAAATATATTAATAGATATTAGATATGTATATAAATAATATATAAATAATTAATTTTACAATATATAGGATCGCGTTTTGGATAAAACTTTTTATCTATTTTTTGTCAATTTTATTTTAAATTAGGTACATAAATATATAGCTAAAGGAACTAAACTTTTAAATAAGAATACTACTACAGTTATTATAGAATAAGTGTAACCAATAATAATAGTAATGATAATAATAATAATAATCAAAATTACAAATTAAAAAAAAAAAAATGTTTATGACAATGTTAGTTAAGAAGGTACTCAAAACAGTTCATAATAAAAAAAAAAAATAATAAAAAAAACAACCATAATTTGCTTATAAAAAAAAAAGATAATAAATTAATCGCATAATAATAATAAATTAAATGTCTGCACAATAATTACAAAATTACAATAAAAACTTGAAAAATGAATTCAATGTTCTATTGTCTATACTATATATACTATAGATTTATATTAAAAAAAAAAAAAAAACATTAACGTTTGGTATATCAGGATGTACACATTCAAAAATGCATGTCGATTAACGGTTTGCATTAAGATTTTTGCCGGTGTCATAATATTTTTATAAAAAAATTTAAAATAGAAAGTAGAAGTATATTACAATAATAAAAAGAAAAAAATCGTTTAAAACGAAATTCACGACGTATAATGCAGTTCGCCCGCCCGCACAGACTATGTTTCGGAAAACTGCATCGGAGCGGACGAGATTTTGACCGCAGCTGAGATAATATTGTGCGAATGGTGTGAAATGCACTGTCGAGTGTTCGTTCTCAACGATCGCGTTATAAATATTATTATTATTATATTATATAAAATCGATAGTGTAAAATGGTTATAGAACAGAAATCATAAAAAATAAGATAATAATGATTTACGTTTCGACGCGCACGTGTGTGCACATTACGTAAATGATGTAAGTCGAGCATAATATTATTATACATGCGTTAGGAATGATGGATGAATGGAATGATGTCATATAAACGTCGCCAGCTGGTACCCGTGCCACCGCAGTGCAGTTGCATGCGGTGCGTGGTCTACAGGCACGTGTTGATTGTCTTCCTGTACTGGCACACGCTGCACTTGACCTCGCAACACCACAGAAAAGTGCAGTTGCACCGTTCGGACACCAGGGCCTGGTGGGTCTTGTAGCCGCGGCCGCAGCACATCAGGTCGCACCCGTCCAAACCGATGGACGACTCGTTGCACGCGCGTCCGTGCGTGCCCAGTATACCCAGACGCGGGTTCGGGTCACAGAACCCGGGTGACGGTTCCAGGTACACCAGGTCCTTGGTGCCGGGCGCCTTCAGCTCGGGGTTGTACGGTTTCAGCTGGAAGTTGTACCTGTTCCGGCCGCCGCCGCGCCTCCTGCCCCCGCCGCGGCCACCGCCTCCGCCACCGTTCTGTTGCGGCTGCTGTTGCGCCAGTTGGTCCTGCGGCTGCTGCTGCTGTTGCTGTTGCTGTTGCTGCTGCTGTTCGTGGTGCTTGTTCTGCGCGTTGTCCTTGCGCCGCAACCGGCGCAGACCGCCCGCGTTGCCCACCATCACCCTGGACGCGCCGTCGAACCTGTCCTTGAGGTTGTCGCCGATCGAACGGAATATGGGCAGTCTCATCCAGCACGTCTTCACCGTGCACGAACCCGACATGCCGTGACACTTGCATTCCTGTTTCATCTCCGATTGTACGTGCTGAAACATAAGAAACGGCGAGTTGAGGTTAGGGACACGCTGCACATCGTATAAAATTACATAAAATCAGCTATACATATTGTACATACAGGCCGCATGTAAACTGCGTTAAATAACGTTAATAATTTTTTTTTTTTTTAATGTAAATAAATGCATAAACATACATTATATTATAACACGATCAAATATAAGTAGGTACAATTACTCATTACATTACTCATTCTAYCGTCGACTTTAGACGCAAGTAAATTAATATTTTATTTTACATTATACACCACAGGGCCGATCTTATAGACAGTGTCGAGTATAAGAATTATTATGGGTCTATTCACTACATTCAGGACCTAGAACTTGACGATGTATAGTTGGAGCAAGTGAGAGGTAAACTTCACCYTGCACCTGCGCACTACGGCTGGACCAGTTAAATATCGAGTGTATCAATACACTGCATTTATTAATAATATATTATAATATACGGTTCATACATTTTAGGTGTACACGAATAATGCACGAGGTCAAAGGTTATCGCATGATTCGTGAACATTTTTTGACCATATTACTTGCAGCGCATGATGCTAAATTACTATATTATTGATATCGTGCAGAGACGACCTTGAAAACTTGTAAAGAATCAACGGGTCATGACCCATTTATCCCGCGTCACCGGTTCGCGGGTCAACCGATTTTCCGAAAAATCTCCACCACGGATACATATTGCATGGCCGCACTCGATATTTATAAAATATAAAGTGCATATATAATATATGTATATAATTTTATTTTTTACTAAGTACATGTACCACAACACCGACCTCTTTTCCCGCGCGTTCATCACAATAATACAGCATATTATATATAAATTATGAGTATATATTATACATAATATTATAATAGACTACCGCGGCAGCGTGCCGTGATTCCGGTGCACAGCGATCTGTCCGTAGTATATGTATATATGTATATATATATATATAATGCTTATATACATAATACAAAATGTTATATATTACGCTATCGTCGAAACTCAAAAGTAACGCGCGGCGCAATCGTCCGAAACTAATCTCGCCGTGTGCCACCCACGATTAGAGGTATATATACCTATATATTATAAAGTATATAATATACAATACACACATATTATATCTATCAATGTAGATATGTATATGATACGTATACATTATATTTAACGAAAACGTGAATAACAAAAAAGAAAACTACCAAGACCGAAACTGTCGGACATCGCGCTACCACCGCGGAATGGGATGCGATAAAATATTATACATTATAATATATA